TATTTCACTCGTTACCCATCCTAAATTCCAATGATCCATCATTTTAACCACTTATTCACATACACTCTGAATTCCTTTACACCCTTCACATACTTGGGAACACTCTACTTTGATTAAATCTATACTCTACCTACTCTGCATCTACCTCAGTGTATCCAGAGGAAAACATACAACTAAGCTAAATGGGGGCATTTTGCTCTCTCAAATTATGATCGTTCATCTCAGGGGGGGCTTTATGCTATCCAGCAGTCCTACTATGTCTTTCTATTCACTATGCTATTTTCTAGAGAGATATTTCATCCTTTTTTCTCTTAAAAAATCAAACTTTCTTGAACAACCCCTTCTTTTTGTTCGCCTGCTAAGAAAAAGAAGCAATCAGAAGAGAAATACCGCAAGCTTCTATCTCCATCTATACCCATACACCTCATACCTGCACTGATGCCTCAAGATCCTGCCTTCCATCCATTAACTATAGATGATGTGTATTTTGCTCCTATCTAAGACCATCCTCTCCTTTTGGACACTAGATCTCATCCTCTTTCTTCTACTCAAAGTCTTCACTCTTGCAATTCTACCTTCTATATCTTACATTTTCTTTGAACTCTTCCTAGTTGTTTACCGGGGTTGAATGTATTGGGGAAGGGGAAAATGTGGGCAACAAAAGAAAGACTACCACTTGGAAACCAAGAGTTGATAATAAAATAGAATTTCTATCTTCCTACAAGTCTATTAGAGATTTCTAATCCTCCAGTTGCTGTTAGGTTTGACTAAAAATCAAAATCCTATTTTATCAAACAGACAGTGACAGCTGTGGAAGAATGAAGAGAAATACTAATGCTGATGCTGGTCTTGGTCGTCTCATACCCAGAGTCTTTACCTAGCAAGATACTTGCATATAGAAGGACTTTTGTTCAGATTCAGAGCTTAAAATAATTCTATGTAATTCTCCAATATTCAAGCACTTGCTCACAACCACAAATTTTTTTTTTTAAAAATCTGCAACAGGTCTAGCTTTGGGGTAGAAATGATCTCCAGCAATCATAATAACAACTCTCCCCACTTTCAGCTAAAGCTACCAACCAGAAGGAAAACACAGAGGTCACAGTGTTCCACAGAAAATTTAGCAAAGCTAGACAGACAGTGCAATGGGACAATGTGAACATTTATTACCTGTCCAAGATGCACTGCCTGGCGAAGGTGAGGGTGGTAGCAATTGTTGTTTTAAGGTTTTGCATTTATTATTTGTCTGAAGTGAAGCAGGACCTGTAGTTGGGGAGAACATGTTAAAAATAAAGATGAAAGCCTGAGGACAAAATATAGTCGGCACCAACGCAGCCACTATCAAAAAAGAAACAAATCCAGGATTAAAGCAGCCTCAGAAAAAGTCAGTTTTACTCTAACTCTACACATGGGAGAACTTATTTTGCAGAATCTTGCGCTTTAGTGTGTTTAGTAACTAAATGAAATTCTACTCTATGGTTTTCTCTTTCACGCTGATTTATACTACACTCACTGTTCCCAAACCCACTCTAAAGAAAGAGGTATTGTTTTAATAACATCTGAAAACAATTTACCATTGATTTTTGATTGGATCCAGTCCAAGAAGACCATCACTCTGGCAAATATACCCGGCTTCCATGGCTGGACACAGCCAGCTCCCCAGCTGACAATGCCATAGAGGACAAAGGGACCATTTTCATGTCTACATACTAGTGGCCCACCAGAGTCTCCCTGAAACACCAAGAAAACATGTTCTAGAAAACTGCTTTAATCCGAAGCTCCTGCTTTCAATTTTAGAACAAGAATGGCCAATAATGTATTTGTAATGTGTTTAATAAGATTTGTTCTTTGTCAATTTCCATTTTTACATACTATATATTCACTGTTTTGCAAAAGGAAACAAAATTTATGAACAATCAGATGGTAATTTGATTCCAGGGTGAAGAGAAAGCTTCGTTCACATAATCAGAAAACAATCACTAAGTCTTCCCAGCTCCACTGGAGGGACCTAGTCTTTAAATGATATCAATTAGTAAAACTGTAATATTTAAGATTTCAAGCATCTTTTAAAAATAAAAATTTAATTAGAAAACTGCACAGTGGCTCAAATGGATCCATCATAAGAAATGCGCTGCCTGTTTTGTTTTCTTCTTCTTTTTTTTTTTTTAAAGGAAATTGGGTTAGGGTCATTGGGTGGTAACCTCTACATGTAGTGTTTTCCCTATCACTGGTCACTCTTGACACAATCTATTCAGATCAAAGAGTAGAGTTACGACATACACAGAGAAACTAGGGTGTTGGTGGTGAGATGAAGAAAAGTGAAAGGCTGACTTAAATCTATTAAAATGTATTCATTCTAATTCTAGTATTCCAATTTTATTTTGGCTTACCTGCAGGTACCAAAATTACACAATTTCAAAGATTTAAAGGGTCAAACTAATTTAACTTACTTAGATATTACATGTGAAAAGTTACAATAGAGAAATAAGTGACCTGTCCCATTTCACACATATAGGTAGTAGCAGCAGTAAAATCTGAGCCCATGTCACCTGCCAAAGTTCCGTGCTCTTTCCCTTCCACCAAATTGATAAATATTCATTAATGGAACTACCTTAAACTGCTCTAGTATCGGGCTTACAGAATTACTGAATTCAAGGAAAGACACATGGAAATTTAACTTAGAGTTAATTTTGTTCACTCTATTTGATAAGGCTACTTAGGTCATGATTAAACACATTTCAAAAGGCAAAAATACTACCCACAAGCACTAAGAAGCTCACGTAGATGGAAACGTCTCTCTTTAACATTCCTCCCAATATTTGCATTGTTTAAATTGATAAATTCTAAGCAGAAAGAGATTTTGAAGAAAATCAACAGCGGTATTGTTATTAAGGGAACCAAAATATGTACATCACACACATTTATCTATTAATTAGCACTAACAACTTCTACATGTCTCTTGAGGTGCAATGTGAAAATCAATGGCAATGCCCAATATATGCCCTTGTTTATGTCTCTTTCTATTTACAACATGTGCCCCATTTGAGGGTAAGCACTGCATCTGATTCAACTTTGTATCCTAGGAAACCTATCACAATACTCAGCACATAATACACGCTAAACAAACATTTGATTAATTTACAGTGAAATTTTATAAACTAGTTGTATCAAAGCAAGCCTTAATACATAGGATTTTCATCTTTTTAGGGTAGGCTTTCCAATTTTTAATCAAGTCTTTTGCAGGAAGTGGATGGACACAAATGTATTTAGGACCTAATCAAGTCATTTATTTGTCTTCCTGTTAGATAAATTGTGCACATATTTGATGGCACATAAATTGATGGTACATATTTGAAATATCTATTTTACATAAAGAATTTAACAGAAGAAACCTTAACTTGGGAAAAAAGAGATACAGTCACTCGTCTGTAATGTAGAACAATTAACCTTTCCTCTGGGCCTAATTTTTTCACGTAACAATTATACTTAAGACCCTTTTCCAGTTGGACAATGGTCTGATGTATCCAGTCAAGTGTTTTATTTTAAATCATTGATTTTTTTTCAGTACCAACGCATAGCCAATACATAATTTTTCAGGCAATCACAAAC